TCAGGGAGTTATGAAACATCCAAATTCTGATGTCTGTAATAAGGGCTGAACAGATCGTGCACGAAAGCTCTTGTAGAGATGTAATAAAGCTCGTGCAGTGCTGCCTCAGTCAGATTGGTGAAGTGGTAGGACTAGAAGAGGTGCCGTGGCAGGAGGTCAGGGATATTCACATTTTTGGGGAAAAAAAGATGGGTGAAATCTTGCTCATTTCCAAATTTGAGAAACAAGCAGGCTAGTCTATTTTAACCTTTCCTGAGCCCCTGGGCTGGAACAGTTCCTCTGCTTTCTATTAGAATTTCAGAAATTATTTGGAAAACTAACAGGCTCTAGGGCGGGTCTGTCTCATTACAGTCCCAATAGATTGAATGTTCCTCGGATGCTGCGTAAGGATATTTTGAAAATGGCACTGATGTTGAAAACAAAAGGGGATGCTTGACATTAGGAGAAGTTGCCTTCAATATGTGCTGGCAGTTGTTTGCAGCAGAAGTTTGGATCTTTTAAAGGAACAGGTAGGAACAGGACTGCTTAGTTTGAGGTAGCTGACAGGTAATTCACAGGAAAGACTTCTAACATTGCTACATTTCATAAATTTGTTTCAGCATGGAGTTATAAATGTGAAACTGCAGACTAGAAGCTTGAATTAATATCTGTTGTTTGTTCAGTTGTCTCTATTTAGAAGACAGCCACAGCTGCTCCTGGACAAAGTCCCCTTGGGAGATGGAACTTAATTTAGAAAATATACTGACTATTTAAGTTCTCATTTTGGAAAAAAATATTTATTACATGTCAGGATACTAAAGTAATATGATATTGCTGCTTTCATACATAGCATATCATCCATGTTGTAACTTCTGCTCTAATAAATATTAATAAACACTTGCAGTTATTGTTCATGTTAATTGTGCTTTCCACCACATAGTTCTGCGATGATTTCTGTGCAGGTTTTTACCATAAATATTATTCTCGTTTAAAAACACACCCATATGTTGAGTGCCTTTTCAGGATCATCAATGACAAAACGGTTGCTATTCAGACAAAGTACTGTTAAGAATAACACTTACCTGAAAATAATTTCTTAATCAGAATATTGCCTATGTACTTTGGAAAAGTTATGTCTCTGGTTGCTATTTAGACTTTGCTTTCTAGTGTTTTATACGGTTGTAAAGGTTACCAGCTATAGAAATGATTTCATGTGTAAATATTTCTGTTCACTGTCACGGCGTATCACAAAATGTTTTCCTCTATGCAATATTTACAGACCAGAAAAGGACTTCCCTCCCTCCTCGTTTAGAAAGGTGTATGTGAACATGCTCACGCACATCAGTGTCACATTTACATAGAAGTGACTTTGGTGAGGGAACTGGAACTATTAAGTGTAATTTTCCAATGATCTTGCACGATGCCATTGTATTATTTAACACCAAGTAAATATACTTGCCCTGCAATTGCTTGTTGCACCACCTGCCTTCATTCAACTGAAAAAGCAAGTCCTGAACATCAGATTCTTCATTTGGAAATAGGTACAACACTAATACAGTGAATAGTATATTATATGTGCACTTTAAAATGCCAAATGCCAACCTGTTTTACTTCACCATATTAAGATATAAATTAACTTTATTAGAACATACATTCCAGCTTTGCCCTTTTTATATCATAGATTGCATGGCTTAGAACCTACTTTTGCTTATTTTCAGATCACCTGCTTCTCTACCTTTTCCTCCACACACATTAGCTGAGCCTCTCTAATTCTGTTTTTTGGACCATTTGGTATAAACAACTTACATTTCATATTGTGGGTCAGCATTTGTTTAAATTCCGTTTTTGAGAATCTCTTTAAAGAAATTTCTAAGAATTTGCTTTTAAACTTAAATTTGTAGATGTTTTTCTGGTTAAATCTGTATATTGATACTGCTGCAGTATAAGCTGTTGTGTCTCAATTATGAAAGTTAAATAATAAAATATTTATTTTATATAAGTGTTTTAAATATTAATGTATTAAAATATGGAAGATAATATTCAGGTAGTTGATCAACAGATGAGTGCTACAAAAACATTTTGTAATTTGATGACAGTATGTAGGACAAATTCCTTGGTGTTACAATTTGTTAGCCCTTGTACAGACACAGTACAAAAGGATAGACCTTGCCCTGACAAGCAGTAAGCTATATGTGCAATCTGTAGAAGGCGTGTACTACTGTTAGCATCTGATCCTTAAAGTCCATTTTTGGAGTGCTGGCCAAAATTTGAGGAAGGGTTGAGCTGCTGCATAGCTTGTGTAACACCTGCTTCTGTAAAGTGTTATACACATGGAGAACAAGGAGAGCAATGGTTAGACACATTAGAGAGTCTCTTTAAAATAGCTGCCTTAAGAGGAGTTAGCTAGTTCCTACAATAGGTTCAGGCTGCCCATTTTTAGAGTACCTGGCTAGTGAGAACTGTGGGTGATCATGCCTTTTGTTTGGAAATGGAATGGAATAAGCCAGTTTTACATCAAAGACATTTGGGCGAGTACGCAGAGTTAACTGCGGACCAAAAACCCACGCAAAATAATTCAATTTTTAAATAACCTTGTCTTGCCTCCCCCCTCTCTATATTATTTAAGAGACCTAAATAAAGAACAAAAAAGGCAGTTGTAGCTCTGCCAGGCACCTCTACCTGTAGCTGGGGCAAAGCAGTGATAGCATCTGTCCAGCTGTTTCAGTTATGCTTGTAAACTTGCATCTGAGTGCCCCACTCCCAGCTGTTGCCCCAAATAGCCGCTTCAGGAGCTGGCATCCAGGGCACGGAAGTGAAAAGTAGAGAAGGAACTTGTATTCTGCAAGAGTGATTTACTTTTGCTGAAACATTTGCGCTTACATTTCTGGCATAGTTTTGTAGAGTAAGTCAACGGTCCTTTTTTAAATAATTCATTTCTATAACCAAGAAATTTGTAAAAACGATGTTGTTTTTATCTCCTATCACATCTACATGAGGAGAGATTTCTACTAACTATTTTACAGTGGTGTGATGACGTGTGGTCTAGAACACAGGAGAAAAAATTACTAGAATTTAATCAATTATTATTACACTTCTAAATTTTTCCAGGCAACCTGATCACATCCTCCCTTCTGAGAGCAGACTTAGACGTTTTATAAAACTGAAATGGACTAGAGCAATGAAGAAGTAGTGTCAAGATGGCATATTCAGTGTACATGGGGCAAAATGTATGAATAAGCAGGTTAAGAACAGAATTCATAGTACACAGGATACTGGAAGACCAGGTAAATAAGTGTTCAAATATAAATTCCCTTTGTTCTATAAGCCTTTTCCCTGCTCCTATCTAAAGTCTTCAGGCATAGTGCGTGCACTTTGTAGTCCAACTTTGTTTTTGTGACTGCTTGTGTAACATTTACTGAGATCCTTTACTGAAGCCTATATTCATTTATAATTGAAAGAGCTTAAAAGTAACAACTAGTTAAGATAATTAAACAGAGGGTAGAGTCAAGTCTCTAGAGGTTTATGAACTTTACAGAGCAGCTGAGAGTGAATCAGGCTGGCTGGTGATCAGATTCTAGTTAGATTCTTTTCCAGTATTCTAGCAGCTGGGTTTATATCATACAGTTACAATTAACCTCCCAGTTTCAGTCTTTTCACACTACGGAGGTTGGAGGTAAGGCCCGACTGCTGCTTTTTCTGCACGTTAACTGATTGCATATTAACAGAGTACGAACTGAACTGCCTGGTTTGTTTCTAAATGCTTAGTCATTACAGCTTGTGATTGCTGGAAAGAGGATCAAGCTGCAATGAGCAAACAATAATGGACAAACAGAATTTCTATCTACATTTCTCCAAGTGCTGCGTATAGAGAGAGAATCTGCCTTTTCTGAAGCAACAGTCTAAACTAAAGAAAAATCTCAACCGTTCCTCCAGCAAGCTTTGGCTTTATTTGAGAATACTTTACCTCTCCCATAATGTCCATATTCAACCTTAAATTTTGTCTCAGCTTTCTGCCAGTTTTCCAAATACATTGTACCTGTTATTCAGCTTCTTCAAAAGCCGTCTTCCTCCTGTTGCCTTCTTTTACAGCAGACATAGTACATTTAGATAAATTCCTCAAAGCAGTTCGCACAGTATAAATATAAACTCCGTGTTAGCAAGATTGGAAATCGAGGCACAGAAGTTAAGCGTCTCACTTTAAATTGGAGAGAGGCAAGAACTCAAGGTCCCACATCCAGTCCTGTGCCCTATTGACTGGATATCACACAAATCAGGACTGTATAAAACAGTTGTGTACAACAAAACAGAGCTTTATAATTCTTTTGCCAGGTCCACAGCATCAGAATTTTTACCCTCAGTTCACAAAGATTCATACGTGCAATTTAAAGTTTACTTTTTACCTTGGGAGTATTCCCTCAAAGCTGTTTACTTTCAGTCACAGGATTCGACCAAAGAGCAGTGCCTGTCACAAATCCCAGATATCCTGTTCTGTAATATTTATTCTGGGTACTGCCATTTGTGTCAAGTTCTTTTACCACTCCTCTTCTATACAGAGGAGCCCCTCCATGAGCATGAAGGTCCTTTGGAGATGATCAGAGAAGTTTTAACATTCCCCAAACTACAGAGGCCATGGATGGGCTGTGTTGTGTTTGAAAATAGGCTTTTGTTTTTGTTCTAACCTCTACCCAGAAGCCAGGTATATAAAGCAGTGTTTCATTCTTCCCTTAGTAGTAGCTTAAAGCACGTGAGACCCTTTGATGGGAAGACTGCGCTCTACTGAAGGCTGTAAGTCTGCAGCAGCAAAACAGATTTTATAGCAGTGCTGTAAGAGTACTCGCATTCACGTTTTGTATTTAGCATTCAGTTGAAGTTAATCTAGGGTCCCAGGTGTGACTCAGACTAATGAAGTTTTATATCTTCCAAAGCGTAGGTTGTGTACTAAGCAGGACAATAAAGATGATGCATCTGTACACTTAACATTCAGGACAGTTCCTCTGGATAAAATAGATATACACCACCACTAGGTAAGACCACTTTATTTTCTACCTTTAATAAGTAAAAAGCACTTTTCTTATTTGAGGTAAAACCATTAAAAGTAGTTTGCCTTTAAAGAGTACAAATGCCTTTAAAAATAGCAACACAAAGCTTACAACTAGGTTATATACGTCTAGACCCTCATTAGGTAGTTCATACAGTAATACTTTATGAAAATCACCTGTCCAAACAACTATGCTACGTTTTAAGGCCTTATTTTACCAAGACACGACAGTATTTTTCAATACAAGGATCAAAGGAAGTCATCAGTTCTTACTATCTCAGGCACTTTTCCCTTCTGTGTACGTACGATGGAAGCTGCTGCCACCTCATGGAATGCATTCACCTTTTTTGCTCTGTTTATATAATATTCCCTATTTGTTAGGGGTACATTTGTAAGAGTTTCCAGTTCCTCTGCCTGAAGTTATCAAATACCGTCATCAACAGAGCAAGAACTGTTGAGTTAGTTTTCATACAAAACCATGTAGTAGCTGTTACAGAGTACGGAAAGGTAGTTTTTGTCAAGCTGCTAAAAAAAAGCCAAAATGAAAGCAGGTAACATGTTGCCTTTCTGTAGCATCTTCCACCTCTGTATGAATACACTCAGGCATAATGCCCCTGTAGCAAAGAGGACAATGATGCACAAAGAGTTTAAGTGACTTAGTTTTGCCCCCACAGGGAAAAAAAACCTGACCTCTTGGCTTAAGCCACCAGACCAACTATGTACCTTTTAAAATGACTCTACTATAGCTTTAAAAAACTTTTAGTAACTCTACATACCAAACCTTGCCCACTCTTTATTAGCTTTTTATTATTACAATAGTAAAAGGTTATGTGTACTTGAGACACAAACTGCAGGTAAAGGGTGATCAGCGTTCTGCAGAGCTGGCTTACTGCAAACTCACACCCTTAAAGTAAAAAAAATCTTCAGACTGAAGTTTAACAAACAGACTGCCCAGTACAAACCTCACAGGCCAATGAACACCGGGGCTGTCTGACTAAGAAGGGAAAGACTTTAAAAAAAAAAAAGGGGAATCGCGCTGGCTTAATGATACCCAAGAGCAGCATCTGAAAGAAACAAACTAGGGAAAAAGAACTATGATGCCTGTGTGCACACTATCCAAGCCAAATTATTTTGGGGAAGGTAGCATTTCACAGCGAGCCATTTACTCCTTAAAATTCCTCAGAAATGTCTCTGATAATTAGCCAGGCCTAACAGCAATACTGATCTTTCTCATGGGACAAAGCCATCCCCTAGGTCTCTTGTTTGTATGTGGATTAGTTACTTGATACAAAGAATCCTGTTAATCAGGCATGCACATGAGCTATGAGATGAAGCAACAAGCTAAAAGCATTTCAAAGGCTTGGGTTACAGTAGCACCCTTTGCCAGATGCAGTGTGATTTCACTTAGTTTATATTTTGTTACCCTATTTGTTAGGGGGTAACAAAGCCCAAGAGCAGGCGTGCTTACACCAGCAAGAAGCTGATTGTGTCAGTATAGCTCATTCTGTTTGGGAAACTGATGTAAGCGACACCAAGAGACGTGCTTTCTCACTAGTGAAATCTGCATCTGCAGTATGAGGGATGCTCATAGAGCTAGGCCAGCAAATCTTTTGCAGGTTACAGAAGGCCCAAGAATCAGCAGCAGTTGGCTTTTCCCCATAGCCTCCATTTCACGTCTTTTGGATGGAACATTGGGTTCAGTCCATGAAGAGTTTTGCTAATAAAAGGTGAATGAATAGTAGTCATGCTCTGAGGTTTACCCTTTCTGGGTGTCCATTTGAAAACCGATACCTAAACCTTTGTAACACTTCAGATGTGTTTTAAAAGTAAAAGCAACAGAAAACATTAATCCAGATATGTGGTTGTGGCAAGTTTTTTGCCAAGTGATTTAGTCTTGGATTTTAAGCTAGTCAGCTTCACTCAAGAGCACGTGTGTTTCTCTAAAACGTCAGTCTTATCTGACATTAAAATTAATAGGCAAGAACAATATCAACTCAACATTACCATTAAACTTAATATTTATATAGCATCATAGAAATGTATGATGCGTCACTAGAAACCAGAACACATGATTTCTGCTTTAAAGAAATTCTACTATGGTTCAGATCCTACAAATGCTAAATCAAGCACAACTGTTTCTGTGTTCGTAGGCTTGAAGCCCTGGACATTAAAAAGAAAAAGTGCCTGGATTTCTACCTACTTGGTACTAATAGTGTTAGAAATAAAAACAGCACCAACTTTTTAGTTAAAAGTTGCAGCTCAATTTTGTTCAGGTGCTTTTGGAGTATATCGCATGTTCTTATTATCCAGATTTTATGGAAGTAGTTTCTGGGTTACCAGTTAATTTAGATAAGAAAGTGTTTCCAAAGAAAATGAATTCATTGCAAGTCTGTACCTCAGCTGTGTATCGTTGAGACTGCAACTTATAAAACAGAACTGGAATGTTACAAACGGTCCTTTAAGATACAAAAATAGAGCGTTCCTCACTGCATTCTCTAGTCTTTCTTTTTTTCATCTTTTGCATCTGTTGTTTCTTCTTCATCCGAGTACACAGTGGGTTCCTCTCCTTCCTTCAGTAGCTTGCCAACGCAGGGATACTTAACTATGAAATAAGAAAGAGAAAACAGCCTAGGTCATTTGCTTTGCATGTGTGCCTTTTGTAACCCAGCAGCAAGGTATAACAAAGATTTTCATGTTAGAGAAAGTTCATACTGTATATGAAAAAGGTAATGACTCCACAGTGTGGTCATGGTATGAGCTCCCAACTCCAGGATGACTGCTTAACATGGGATTTGCATAATTTCCTAGTATGAAGACCATTCTTGGAATAAACATGTCTGACCTTTCACAACTATGGTTTCTGACAAGTCACTCAGGGATATGTGAACATAGGTATCCTAAGGAATTAAAGGTCATATGTTGCACTTGCAAACATTAAACCAGTATAACAAGAGGTCCCATTTCTAGTGCTATACTTAAAAGGTTAGCCCAGTGTTCTAGTTTTATTATCATCAAGTGCTGCCAAGACAGCGGTAAGAACTCAGAATATACGCAGAATTTCCATCATGCACATAAAGAGCTTTTCAGCCAGACAAATAACCAGTATTTACACTTTCTGTTTTATGCAAGTGAAATATGATCCCTTTAAAGTTATTCTGGTCTAAAAGCCCATGTGAGATGTAGGGCTGTTATTATTCTTCATCAGTAAAGGTATTAGGTGTGGGAGAATGTAATATGATAATTATCTGCTTGGGCATAAGAGGCTACCTGAGCAACTTCTAAACTACAAAAGGGTTCAAGTTACTTTTTTTTTTGGTGGGGGGCAGGGCGGGGGAGAACAACAATGATAGAAGTGTAAACCAAAAAACTTGCCTTATTTGAGCCTTTAACATAACGAGTTGCAAAATAAAAAGGAGTAATAGTGGTTTATTTTAAATTAGTTGCTTCCGGGGAGTTAAATATACCACGATCTGAAAAAGGCAGGGAAAAGGACTTTTGTTTGTAGGGACATGGATGGGCAGACGGACAGCAGTCCATCTCTGCTCATTCTGGGGCTGTCATTCACAAAAATGCCATTACTGTTTCTTTCAGTAATCAGGTTTTCAGAAGTGACATAGGAGTCTAAGCTGCATTTTCAAAAATCATTTCCACTCTTTTCAATATTTTGCTGCTCACCTTATTAGAACATTTATAGACCAAAGTTCAGAAGAGCAACAGGGAGTGAGGAAGGAGGGGAAAATACTCAGCTTAGAAGTAAGATTCATGGCATTAAAATTAATCTTTGAGAAAGTTCAAGGACCTACCAGCAATGTCAGCTAAACTAAACTGCATCAGAAGAAACACATTTCACTTTCAGTCAGATTAACTGAAGATATAAAAGCAGTTTCATCCCCTGCCAGTTTTTAACAGTTTAATATTAGAAAGTGTAACCGACTATAAGGAACATTTTTATCTTGCCTGTTGCCTTAGGAAAACCCCTCACAAATATGAGAACTTGAAACTGTTTCTTCTCGCTTTCATTACATTCCCCTTAGGAATTACAACCACACACAGCACAGTATTTTCAAATGCACATCTTATTTTTAAATAGACAATGCCCTTTTGAATTACCTCTGTTATTATACACTAGTTAGGCCCCATCAATGAAAATGGGTTTAAAGTTGCTTACAAGTGAACTGCGATTCCCAGTCTTGCAAGGTTTCTTGCTGTGTAGCATCAAGGTCGGATAGGTCATCATATTCGTCTTTGAGAGCTTCTTTATCTAGACAGAAGGTGGCTAGGCCTCTGGATGCATCCCTTCCGGCAAAAATCCCATACGGGCCATCTTTAAGAGGAAAATATCAATGTCACTGTTAGATAGCTGATATACATTTCTGTTTCTTTGATGACCAGATACAGAAAACTAAAAAAGAAAAAAAAAGACATTTGATCCCTGCTCCAAAGCTTAGGTAAAAGTCACCCAAACTCCAGAAATATTTTAGGATGGATTCTGTTTTGGTAATAATGACTCGGATATTTTTCGAAGTAAAGCATTCAGAAACTACCAGTAGGTATACAGAAGAAAAAGGGAGGAAACCAAACTGGAAGAACGAACAAGTCGTGGCATGTGGAGAATGCAGCACGCACGGGAAAGAACAGCAGAAACAAAGGGATTTGGTTTTCCTGGAGCAAGTGTGCTTGAGAAATATAAAGCTAAGATGGCACCTGTAATGATCATGTGTAGGAACCAGTTGTGTAAGGAAACGAGTGGGGGATGGATATCAAAGTCTGAGAAGCAGCAGAAAGCAATGGCATGCTTCTCTTAGAAAAGCTTAGGCCCAGAGAGAGTTAACTGATGAAAGAAGGACTTGAAAGATGGTGGACTGTGGCTGCAGACACTTTAGCTGACCCTTTTGCCAAGGAAAATGATTAGCTAGGAAGCAAAGTATCTAGTAAATTTTATGCATCTTTTTTTTTTTTTCTCTCTTTCTTTTGCAATGGTAGCATGAACCCAAGTGACCAAACATGCAATTCCCAGTGGGGCAGAGTTATCTTATCAAGGCAGTCTTGCTAAACTTCATCAATCATTAACCTATTTGCAAAGCAAGCAGAACGTTTGTACCCCTTGAGAAGTAACAGAAAACTGGGATATCATATGTCGTACCCGTGCATTAAGAGCTTCTTCTCCGAAAGGAGCTGAAGCACCCAAACGAAAGGCCGACTGCGTTAGCGCTGGGTTGTCCAAGATGACACGACGCACAAAGCTGCCTCATCAAGTCCCCAGTGCTGCCCTGGCAGGACCCCCACCCCCAGCACGACACACCGAGAGCCGCAGCAGTCTCTGGACAGGGCGGGCGTCCGCGGCCTGTCAAACCAGCTCCGGTGCCAGCGGGGGCACGGAACCGCCCCTTCCCAAACGGGACAGCTTTTCAAAAGGAGGAAAACAACCCCCCTGTCCACGCACAGTTTCGATCGTCTTAAAATCAGCAACACAAAAGCATGCTGCGGTTAAGCTCAAGCGTGGATATAGCATCCCCACCCCAGCCCCGTCCCTGAACCCAGGACTTCAACCCCTGACCGCCGTGGCAGGGCCCCGACCTGGCGGCCCCCCCGCCCCGCGCCGCGCCGCGCTCGCACCGGGCCCGTAGAACTTGCTGGCGCGGCTGACATCGAAGAC